CCTGGGGTGCCTCGAGACGCGCCCGGCCCTCCTGGCCCCCGCCTGCGCGGCGGCCGTGCCCGCGAGGCGAGACCGTCCCGGGCGCGCCTGCTGCCTCCACCGCCGCGGGCGCTCCTTACCGCGCAGCGCCCGCGGCCAGCCAGCAGCACGAACGCCACCCAGCCCGAGGACCCGGGCCAGCTCGGGCCTCCAGAGCCGCTCCGGCAGCAGCAGCCACCCACGGTCGCGGCCCCAGCGGTCGACGAGGTCCTCTCGCCAGTCCAGGGGCGCCCGCGGGCGGCCGCTCCCTCTGGGAGTCGCGCGCCTCGCGCTGGCGGGACAGGCCGACGGCGCCGGCACGGCGGGCGGCAACCTCGGCCAGGCCCGCGGAGGGCAGCGCGAGGGGCCGCAGGGCTGAGCCCCCGGCTGCACGCGCCCGCTCGCAGGCGGAGGCCCGCGCCGAGCATCGTCGCCGAGCGCCTGGCGGCGGGCGAGGCCAGCCTTCCCTCCCATGGCGTGGCCACTCGGCGCTGCCTGCATCTCCCTCCGCTGCAGGTTGGCTGTCCTGCAACGCCAGGATCTGGAGGCGATGTCGTTGATGACAAAAGAAGCCCAGCACCGACGTGACACCCCCGCCAGGCACGGCGGGCCTCCGCAGAGAGCGACCGGCAGCCAGAGCCCACCCGGAGCCCAGCCCCCACGGCCAGAGCGCCGCGGGACGAGGCCGAGTTGGCGCCGGACGCATCCCGTCGCTCCGCCGCGCGACCTCCGCGCAACACCAGCGCCCCCTCCTCCTCCTCCTCAGCGTTCTCAGCGTTCTCACCAAAGAGACATGTCGTGCAAGCACAGCATGCCCCGAAAAAGGGAAGGATGCCGCTCTCTGCTAGAGAGTGACAGTTCGCACGACTCCTCCACCCCATTCCTGCTGCGTGAGGCCTGATCACGATGGCCCTCTCACTGATTGCTGCTATATTTCCTGGTGCCACTGCGCTGGGCAGGACCAGGAAGAGGCAGGGCTCGCTGTGAGCAGTAGGGGAGGAAAGAAGAGGTGAGAAGGGATAGGGCAATTGATAGGGGAGGAAAGAAGAAGTGAGAAGGGATAGGGCAACACTTGGGAGCCTGAGTGCCCCCAGAAATTTCCTTCCTGCTGCGTGAGGCCTGATCTTGGCTCTCTCACTAATTGCTGCTATGTTTCCTGGTGCCACTGCGCTGGGCAGGACCAGGAAGAGGCAGGGCTCGCTGAGAGCCCCGAACAAGAGAAGTTAGCCATATACTGTGGCGTGAACCTCCCCCTCCGCTTATCACTTCCTCTGCACCACTCCTCCACCCCATTCCTGCTGCGTGAGGCCTGATCAAAATGGCCCTCTCACTGATTGCTGCTATATTTCCTAGTGCCACTGCGCTGGGCAGGACCAGGAAGAGGCAGGGCTCGCTGAGAGCAGTAGGGGAGGAATGAAGAGGTGCGAAGGGATAGGGCACGACAGGGAGCCTGAGTGCCCCCAGAGATTCCCTTCCTGCTGCGTGAGGCCTGATCAAGATGGCCCTCTCACTGAATGATGCTATATTTCCTGGTTCCACTGCGCTGGGCAGGACCAGGAAGTGGCAGGGCTCGCTGAGAGCACCGAACAATAGAAGTTAGCCATATACTGTGGCGTGAGAACTCCCCCTCCGCGTATCGTCCCCTATCGCCATTGGCGTCGTCGTTAGCTCCACCTCCCCCGCCAAGCTGGGAGTTTCCAGCTATATAATCCCTGCAGCGGGGAGAACTTGGTGGAGAATAGGGAGGGGGAGAATGAGTTGTTAGGGGAGGAATGAAGAGGTGAGAAGGGATAGGGCACAACTGGGAGCCTGAGTGCCCCCAGAGATTCCCTTCCTGCTGCGTGAGGCCTGATCTTGGCTCTCTCACTATTTGCTGCTATGTTTCCTGGTGCCACTGCGCTGGGCAGGACCAGGAAAAGGCAGGGCTCGCTGAAGCCCCGAACAAGAGAAATTAGCCTTATACTGTGGCGTGAAACTCCCCCTTCGCGTATCTCCTCCTCTTACCTCTTACCTAATTTAAGGGCCGATTCCACTGACTGGGGCCCCCGCTCAGAAGAGGAACGAACGGGACGGACTTGGCCTGGCCGTCCACGTTGTCGGTGCGGGAAGAAAGACAGAACTCATGCATCCATCCCAGGGCCGCCTGCACGCCCCACGCTGGCCTCCGAAAACGAGACACAATGCAAGAATCCACAAACAAGGCAAAACGAGAACGTTTCCCTCTGAGGTCCTCGATACACCGAGACTTGAATCCGAGAACGCCAATCGCGAATAGGGGGCAACAGTGAAAACATACAGAACAATGTCTGACTCCACCGCAGAAAATATTGTCATTGACCTTGCTCGCGGAGTTCAGGATGAACACAGGTCACGCAGAACAGGTCTTGGCAACTCACGCTGTCGCAAAATGTGGTAAGGTCGTCATCCACCTCACGCACCAGCACGTGGCCCTGTGAGCAGCACCTGCGATGAAGTGCCACGATGTTCCGACCAAGGGAAGCGAGAAGAGAAGATGGTGAAGCCGTCACCACCGTCTCCTGGCTTGCCTGTACCTCCTGTGTGCCTATGTTCATACCAATATTGACGGTCCCACCACATACGTCTGCCTTCCTATCCCCTGCCACGGGGTGGGGGCCAGGCTCAGCCCGAAAAACTCCGGAAACCTCGCAGTCTGTTCCTGGCCTCACTGCACCAGATGTCCGAGACGAAAGCGGGGCCACCTCGCAAGGCTCCCAAATCCCAGGCCTGCCGAGCTGCTCCACAATCGGTTCGCCCAAGTCTTGCGGAGCGAAAGGGGCAGCGTCGGGATTGAGAGTCGACACCTTTGGCAACCTGGCACCTTTTTGCAGTTTCCTGAGCTCCTTGGTCGATGCAACAGAAATCCAAAACCCAGGCGGCGCCGAGGAATGTAAGGCTACGTTCCGACGAAGCACAACCGAATGCTCAGGAAGGCGTCCATGCAGGAGGTCCGCGAGAGCTGGAACCACTGCGAGAACTCTATCTGCAAGAGCGGGATCGCCGAAAAAAGCCACAACCGATTGGAGCAGACCACCATCCTCCTGCTCCTCCTCCTCCTCCTCCTCCTTCTCCTGCTCCTCCTGCTCCTCCTCCTCCTCCTTCTCCGGCTCCTCCTCCTCCTCCTCCTCCTCCTCTCCTCCTCCTCCTCCTCCTCCTCCTCCTCCTCCTCCTCCTCCTTCTCCTGCTCCTCCTCCTCCTCCTCCTCATCCTCCTCCTCCTCCTCCGCTCCTCCTCCCCTCCTCCTCCTCCTCCTCCTCCTCCTCTCCTCCTCTCGTCCGTCCTCCTCCTTCTCCTCCTCCTCCCTCCTCCTTCTCCTCCTCCTCCTCCTCCTCCTCCTTCTCCCCCCGGCGCCCCGCGACGGCACTCGCGAAGGGTGGCGGCGCGACGCCCTCCACTCAAGCTGCTCCGCCCCCTGCGGCAGCACGATGCGCGACAGTGGGCAAGCCACGGCAGCACGTGGCAGTACATAGCACTGCAAAGCAGCAGCGTCCACAGCTCCTCGGACAGCGACTCTTCTCTGTCTGCTGCGCCACACGCCGAGCCTGGCGCCAGGGGCGCTCCTGTGGCGGCTCCCGTGGCCCCCAACGGAGACGCCCCCTCGCGCCTTGCTCCGGCCATCGATCGATCTGACCGTTGCCAGCGCTGGTGCGCCGTGCACCCTGCACCTTCCCCCTCGCCTTCGCTCCTTCCCAATTTTTTTCCGCTTCTAGTGCTGTGTTCCCTACGGCCACGGGCGACCACCCTTGCTCGCCCGCCTCGCCCATGCTGACATCCCTCCCTGGTGAGGCTCACGCGAAACTGGCTCTCGAGTTGTGGCTTCGCCACCTTGCAGGCCGCTGGGTCGACGACCCCGACCTGGGGGGCGCCAGCACCGACTACGACCAGTGTATCCTTCACGGCATCCCCTGCGTCTGCCAGCTCCTCCTCAACCTTGCCCTTGCGGCAGCTCCGAGGGACGCCCAGCTGCCGCCCTCGCTTCAGGTCCTGGACCGGGACGGCCAGAGCACTTTCTCTTTGCCACGCCGCTTGGCGCCACGCCGACGCGCAGTCAGCCCGCGACATGCTTAAACGAGAGAAGGCCGCTCTGGCCGAAGCCTGCTCCGGCAGAACCACTCTGGCCGAGACCGCTCCGGCAGAGCCGCGCTGGAAGAAACCCGCTCTGGCAGCACCGTTTTGGCAGAAGCCCGCTCCAGCAGAGACCGCTCCGGCGCTCCGGCAGCAGCCCACTCCGGCAGAATCCGCTTCAGAGACCGCTCCGGCAAAAGGCCGCTCTGGCAGACGACCTCTACTTATTACTGCTGGTCTCCCTCCTGCTACTCTCCCTCAGTCTCCCTCGTTCCTCGACCTGCTCCTCCTCTTCCGCCTGCTCCTCTTCCTTCTCCTCCTGTTCCTTCTCCTCCTCTTCCTCCTCCGCCTCCTCCTTCCGCCCTCCCTCATCCCTCGTCTCTGCAGCTTCCCCTCATCTCTCATACTGCCTTCAACCCTGATCCCTCCCTCCCCGTTTCAGACCTACCTTTCAAAGCAACACCCAGCACTGCACAGCCTCCGTCTCGAGTACACACCCCAGAAAGAACTCCACAGCCTCCGTCTCTAAACACACACAGTATTCCACAGCTTCCGTCTCCAACGCGCACCCCCGTACTCCATATCCTCCGTCTCCAACGCGGCTTCCTTAGGAGCAGTGTTTACAACCGAGCTCCTCCTCCTCCCCCTCGTCCTCCTCACCCTCCTCCTCCTCCTCCTCCTCCTCCTCATCCTTCTCCTCCTCCTCCTCCTCCTCCCTGTTCCTCCTCCTCCCCCTCCTCCTCCCAGCGGCGGGGGGCGCGAGCCTCGCCCCCCCCCCCCCCCCTTCCCCCCCTTCCACCACACCCCGCCCCGCCGTGGCCCGCGTCCTGCCCCCCAGGCGAAGGCCCTGCTCGAGGTCCTGGGGGGCCGCGACTGGGACGAGGACCCCGAGCCCTGAGATGGCGACCTTCGAAGAAGTAAACACGCCACGAACAGAAAATTTTGGCGTTCCGCGCGGATCTCTTGGATCCGCGGTGGAGCACCCTGGTGGCGCCTCCGGCGCCGCCCCTGGCGCGCTCCGCTCGCCAGGGAAGGGGGCCCTTGCGCAGATCCAAGAAATCCGCGCGGACTGTCCAAAGTGTATGTTTATGCCGTTTTCTGTTCCTCCAGAGACGGCCACTCGCGCCGACAACGACCGCGATGACGCGTCGGAGTGCAGCGGAGGGAGGGAAGCAGGGGCGATCGGGAGGATGGGGCAGGCGTGGCAGTGTGGGCGATGGGGAGGTGCGAAGGGGGGAGACGGGGGGTGGGGAGGTGAATGAGAAAGAGACGGGCGAGGGTGCGGGCGAGGGCGGAGGGAGGAAGGGAAGGCGGGGGGAGCAGGGAGGAGGAGGGAGAGGAGGGAGAAGGCAGGATGGTGGAGGGTGGACGGAAGAGGGTGGAGAGGGGTGGGGGAGTAGGGATGAGGAGGTGAGGAGGAGGCGGAGGAGGAGGAGGAGGAGGAGGAGGAGGACCGACAGGGCGCAGATGGCGCAACCGCGCCTGTTAGTATCTTCGGGGCGCGCCATACTTGTCCAATGGACATGTGAGCGACCCTCTTTAGGGGAGTTGCAATGCTCAGTGCATTGGCAGCATCGCGAATTCGTGGGCGACCAGTCCAACGCGACGGTCAGGAGGGGTCCAGGAGCAGTCCTTTCTGGGAAGGTCGCTCGTTGGTCACTCGTTGTGACTTCTTCTTTCTCGGAGGTGACCGCACATCTGGATTACAGCATCCACCTGGCGGTCCCGACACACGTTCAGTGCTCTGTACATAGGCATAGCGCTGCCAATCAGAGCAGCCAGCCTAGTTTAACGCTTTCTCTGAATGTGCGAACCTCCCGTGCGGTACAGCTCACTGGCCTTTTCATTTGCACTGGCCCATTCACATGGGCACCACAGTGTCTAATGGCCTTCGGCCCATCCCAGCACTGTGCCTGGGTTGTGGGCCTCTTTGGGCGTCTTGGAGCGTCGGAAAGCCGACGCAGCGAGAACGCCCAAATCCTAAGGCAAATCAGTGATGTTTGCCTCTTGGGGCCCTCTTGGGAGGCCTCTTCGAGACATCTGTGGCCGTCTTGGAGGCTTCTAGGCCCGCCTTCGGGCCACCTTGGGCGTCTTCGAGCGATCGCTCGACGGCTCGGGGCACTCTTGGACCGTCTTGGGGGCCTCCTTGAACCATCTTGGCTCGTTGTGGGGCCCTCCTGGGCGTGGTAGGCCGACGCGAGCGAGCCCGGCAGACCCCGGGCTGGCGCGGGAAACGCTTGGTCCGGGCGTTCAAAGACTTACAGTACTGATGCAGCAGCAGCAGCAGCACAGCCCTCTCAGTGCTGCATGCGCCTTGGGGCACTCCATTTCGTGCCAGTGGCACGGTGGCGGATTACTGTGGCACCGCTGTGTCTCATTGGCCCGCGCTCGAAGAAGGAAGCACCATCATATCGGTCCGCGCATCAGCGTTGCTGTAAAGGCCGTTGCGCGCGGGCTGCCAAGGTAAGGATCACCACTGGCAGCCTTCCTTTCCCTTCCACGTCGTGATGAGCGCCGCAATGTGCCGAGATACGATGGCCGCAATCTCTCCGATGAGAGAAGCGGTGGGATTGCGGCATCTCGTATGAGCTGGCGCTCGCGACCATATCGACTGGTCTGAGCCTCCAACGCTCTGATCTGTTCACGACGCAGTCCCTGTCTGCCTCTGCACCCGTCCCCAGGACGACGTCTCGCAGCCACGCGCAGAGGGGGGCAGGGTGAGGGGTGAGGGCTTCTTGGGAGCATCCCTTCTTCTCAGAAGGCGCGGGCACTGGTTTCTGGGGGGTCGTTTTTTAACTCCGTGATCTGTTTTTAAGGCCCCCCCGGGTTGCAGCGGCTCTTGCAGGCCGATGTCGAATCAAAACCTACGAGGACTGCAGAAGCCTGGCCGGCTTCCAGCGGCTCCCATCGGCATAGAACCATACAAATTGTGAGCCATCGCAGACCCCGAACGGTGAGATGTGGAACTCTGGCAGTGAAAGTTCTGCGGGTAAGCCTATGTGAAGCGAGCTATGTTGTGGCAGCCATGTGGTGTGAGCTACGTGTTGAAACCTTTTCGGTGCAAGTTATGTGGTGGAACATAATTTCTGTTCGCAGTGAGTTGTCCACTCCACTGCTCGCGCAAACATCTCACCCACCCACCCGCAACTTGGTTCGCAAACCTCATTCGGCGGCGATTGCGATGAGTGCTTGGCGCTGGCTGGGGCATCTCTGCGGCCGCGCAAGCCCGCGCATGCGCACGCGCAGCGGCCAAGCAGTTTGGCGCGACCGACGCGGCCGCGGTGGTGCTGACCTCTCGGCACATCCAGGCGGGCACTTGGAGTGCGAGTCGGCGACTTGGGCGGGTGCGGTATCATGGCAACGTCGACAATTGTAGACACGTTGATGATGACAGCAGCGATATTGGTGACGATGCTGACAGCGACGACGGTACGGCCAGTGATGGCGCCGATGCCGATCACGCCGACGACGATGACGGCGTCTTCGCGTCGGTGATGAAGGTTTTGAAAAGGAATTCGAAATGCGCGCGCGGCAGACGCGCGAGAGTGACTCGCACGGTATTATTTGACACGGATCGAGCCACTCCAGCACGCGCGCAAGGGCGTTCGAAACATTTCGACATTCGCGCGCGCGAAGCCCGTTTGGTAGCACGTTATCATAATTCTGAAGATTAGTATTTCCATAGGAATTCGCAAGAGCGCGCGCACGCTTTAATTAAAGATCCGTGTTGCGAAACCTACGTTTTTGTATGATCTGCTCACACTCGATTTTGAACTCCTTCCCAAACCGCAGATTTTTGAAGAATTCCGGCACGCGCGCGCGACGACGCGCGCGCGTGCACTTGGTTTTTTTGCAAAAGGATTCTCGCGACGGCGCTCGCGCAAATGGCGTTCGAACGATTTCGACATGCGCGCGCGAAGCCGGTTTGCTAGTATTTCCTCAATATGTTGAAACAGTTATGGTTTTCTGAAGAATTCGCAAGAACGCGCTCGCATTTTTTCGTGGAAACCCGTATTGCGAAACCCTTTTTAATAATAGTAAATGTGTTTTGGACACTCGGTTTTGAAGTCCTTCCGGAGCTGAAGGTTTTTGAAGGACCGGCATGCGCGCGCGACGACACGCACGTGTGCACGTCGTCCCATTTTCCGCAAAAGGGTTCTTAAACATTCATGTTTTCTTGATAGACGAGTGTGCGCGCATAGTTCCCAACCATCCTGTGGTGTTGGGTCCTCGTTTTGAAGAGACGGCGCCCCGCGTTCCTCCTCCTCTCCTCTCCTCTCCTTCCTCCTCCTCTCTCCCCTCCCCCTTCCTCCCACCATCATTTTCACCTCTCACACGTTTCGTGGCCCCATAGGGAGCTACACCCAAGGTCCCAGTGGCGCAGCCCGCATGCGGTACGCCCCCAATTTTGGCACACCCCTCACACGTTTCGTGGCCCCATAGGGAGCTCCACCTATGGTCCCAGTGGCCCAGCCCGCATGCGGTACGCGCCGAATTTTGGCACACCCCTCACACGTTTCGTGGCCCCATAGGGAACTCCACCTTAGGCCACAGTAGCGCAGCCCGCATGCGGTACGCGCTCCATTTTGGCACACCTCTCACACGTTTCGTGGCCCCATACGGAGCTCCACCCAAGGTCCCAGTGGCGCAGCCCGCATGCGGTACGCGCCCCATTTTGGCACACCCCTCACACGTTTCGTGGCCCCAGTGGGATTTCCACCTATGGTCCCAGTGGCGCAGCCCGCATGCGGTACGCGCCCCATTTCGGCACACCCCTCACACGTTTCGTGGCCCCATAGGGAGCTCCACCGAAGGCCCCACTGGCGCAGCCCGCATGCGGTACGCGCCCAATTTTGGCACACCCCTCACACGTTTCGTGGCCCCATAGGGAGCTCCAGCGTAGGCTCCAGTGGCGCAGCCCGCATGCGGTACGCGCCCAATTTTGGCACACCCCTCACACGTTTCGTGGCCCCATAGGGAGCTCCACCCAAGGTCCCAGTGGCGCAGCCCGCATGCGGTACGCGCCCAATTTTGGCACACCCCTTATACGTTTCGTGGCCCCATAGGGAGCTCCACCTTAGGCCCCAGTGGCGCAGCCCGCATGCGGTACGCGCCGAATTTTGGCACACCCCTCACACGTTTCGTGGCCCCATAGGGAGCTCCACCCATGATCCCAGTGGCGCAGCCCGCATGCGGTACGCGCCGAATTTTGGCACACCCCTCACACGTTTCGTGGCCCCATAGGGAGCGCGGGCGAAGATGGTATTCACAATTGCGGTATTCACAACTGCATATGGTTGGGTCCTTCGTCAGGCTAATTTTTCCCAACCATCCTGTGGTGTTGGGTCCTCGTTTTGAAGAGACGGTGTCCCGCGTTCTCCTTCCTCCCTTCCTCCCGCTGCCTCCTCCCCCCTCCCATCATCATCATCATCATCATCATCATCATCATCGTCGTCATCATCATCACCATCATCGTCACCGCCATCACCATGATCATCATCGACATCATCGACGTCATCATCACCACCACCACCACCATCACCATCATCATCATCATCATCATCATCATCATCATCATCATCATCATCAGCATCATCATCATCATCATCATCATCGTCGTCATCGTCATCACACAATTCGGCACACCCCTCACACGTTTCGTGGCCCCATAGGGAGCTCCACCGAAGGCCCCAGTGCCCGCGGCCGCATGCGTCACGCACGCCCAATTCCGCACACCCCTCACACGTTTCGTGACCCCATAAGGAGCTCCACCGAAGGCCCCAGTGCCCGCGGCCGCATGCGTCACGCACACCCAATTCGGCACACCCCTCACACGTTTCGTGGCCCCATAGGGAGCTCCACCGAAGGCCCCAGTGCCCGCGCCGCATGCGTCCCGCACCCAATTCGGCACACCCCTCACACGTTTCGTGGCCCCATAGGGAGCTCCACCGAAGGCCCCATGCCCGCGCCGCATGCGTCACGCACACCCAATTCGGCACACCTCTCACACGTTTCGTGGCCCCATAGGGAGCCCACCGAAGGCCCCAATGCCCGCGCCGCATGCGTTCACGCCACACCCAATTGGCAACAGCAGAACACAAAAACTACAAAATAATGGAACCCCTCACGCGCCGCGTGGCCCAATAACTAGGGAGCTCCAACGAAGGCCCCAGTGCCGCCGCCCGCATGCGTCAGCCACACCCAATTCGGCACACCCCTCACACGTTTCGTGGCCCCATAGGGAGCTCCGCCGAAGGCCCCAGTGCTGCCGCCCACATGCGTCACGCACACCCAATTCGGCACACCCCTCACACGTTTCGTGGCCCCATAGGGAGCTCCGCCGAAGGCCCAGTGCTGCCGCCCGCATAGCGTCACCACATTCAATCGGCACGCCCCCTCACACGTTTCGTGGGCCCCATAGGGAGCTCCACCGAAGGCCCCAGTGCTGGGCCTCCCGCAATGCGTCACGCACACCCAATTCGGCACACCCCTCACACGTTTCGTGGCCCCACAGGGAGCTCCACCGAAGGCCCCAGCTGCCGCCCGCATGCGTCCCCCACACCCATTTCGGCACACCCCTCACACGCTTCGTTGCCCCACAGGGAGCTCCACCGAAGGCCCCAGTGGCCGCGGCCGCATGCGTCACCCACACACATTTCGGCACACCCCTCACACGTTTCGTGGCACCATAGGGAGCTCCACCGAAGGCCTCAGTGCCGCCGCCCGCATGCGTCACCCCCACCCACTTCGGCCAACCCCTCACACGTTTCGTGGCCCCATAGGGAGCTCCACCGAAGGCCCCAGTGCCGCCGCCCGCATGCGTCACCCCCACCCACTTCGGCATACCCCTCACAGGCTTCGTGGCTTCATAGGGAGCTCCACCGAAGGCCCCAGTGCCGCCGCCCGCATGCGCCACCCCCACCCATGTCGGCACACCCTCACACGTTTCGTGGCCCCACAGGGAGCTCCACCGAAGGCCCCAGTGCCCGCGGCCGCATGCGTCACCCACACACATTTCGGCACACCCCTCACACGCTTCGTGGCCCCATAGTGAGCTCCACCGAAGGCCTCAGTGCCACCGCCAACATGCGTCCGCCACATTCAAAGTTTCTGGGAACAGCTCCTGACCTCTGGGGAGGAGGGGGAGGCGGAGGCGGAGGAGGAGGAGGAGGAGGAGGCCCGCCCCCCCTCGTATGGATTTTGCGTTGCATTCGCGAGAGGTTCCATTTCACCATCGGGTGCCTTTCCGGATCCTGGATTGCGGCCGCCACGAGGTAGGGAACGGCAAGAAGGATGACGACGACTGGTGGCTGGAGCTCTACGTGCTGCTCTCGCGCGCCACGCGCCACGAGGACCTCCTGCTCATGCGGGCGCCGCGCATCGAGTTCTTCCTGGCAGGGCCGCCGCAGGGCTTGCGGAAGCAGCTGGAGCAGTTTGCGGCGCGCACGAAGCGGTGCAGGAGGGAAGCGACGGCCCTCGCCAGGGAGCTCGGCTTCACCGAGTTCATCCGCGAGGCCTGACCTGAGGAGCGTCTCCCCCGAGCCGCGCCTTCTCTCGACTGCCCGACTAATTGTTTGGCCTCGCGCCGCGGACGACCCGCGCGCGTCGCTGGGACCCTCTCGGGGCGACCGGCGCGCGTCGCGGGAACTCCGTGCTGCGGGGAGCCCGGCGCCTCGTTCGCCCGTCGTCGCTCTGCCCAGCGGTCAGAGACTTGCCCGCTATCAGCCAGCCAGTTAGCTAGTCAGCTCTCTCTGCTTCGCGCAGCGGACGACCCGCGCGCGTCGCTGGGACCCCGCCCGGGGCGACCAGCGCGCGTCGCGGGGACTCCGCGCTGCGCTGCGCCCGCAGCCTTGGATTTTGGAGTGCGCGGGCAAAGAGGAAGGAAAAGAAGGGCCGAAAGCGGGCGCGATCCTCGCAAGAGGCGTGCCGACATGGGCGTCGCGACGCGCGGGCGCTGCCGTCGGGGTTCCCGCGGAAGCTGCCTGCGGCGGCCACGCCCAGTGTCACGTGTGTTCGGACAGGCGTGCTCGAACCATTCACATCCATATACACTTACACTAGGCGTTTCCATGATCGCATTCATGCAAATATATCCACTCGCGCGCAGACCCATTCATACTCAGATTCCCTCGCGCTCTGACTCACCCGCGTTCTTTCTCTCGTAATCAGATCTATCGTATTCCTTTGCGTTGTGTACCCCGCCACATTTCGGCGCGCCCCTCATGCGGTTCGTGGCCCCATAGGGAGCGCCACCGAAGAAGATACTCACAATTGCGATACTCACAACTGCATATGGTTGGGTCCTTCGCCAGGATATATTTTTGCAGAAAATGGCGGGGGTGGGGGGCGATGCCAGCCTTGCTGGGATAGTCTGAATCCACAGGTCGGATGGGCATTGGGTGAGAACCCGTTGTGTTTTGCATCTGCTCCTGGGGGGTCTTTCAGTCCGGGGGAGGGGGGGATGGTAGAACATATTTTTTCTACAAAGGAGATTCCACGATATGTAAAGATATCCCCTCAAGCAGCACTGGTAAACTAAAACCTCTTGAGCCTAGTAGGCGGGGGCTCAAGAGGGGAGGGAGAGGGGCGTGCGCGGCCTCAGATGATGACGACGACCTTTTGCCAAAGGGGCCGTGCTGCTCCTCTGTGCTGGCGCCCGGCGCCCCACGCGCCGGCGCCGTCTTCGGCCGCGCGCAGCGTGCCGCGCCGCCGCCGAGGCACTATAGCGCCTCGGCGGCGCTGTAAAAGTCCAGAAAAAGGGCGGGTAGGGAGCCCTGCGGGGCTCCCAGGGTGGGCCAGCTTGGCCTTGAAAAGGCTTGAGCCGTGAAGCGGCGGTGAAGAGAGAGGGAGAGAGAAAGGGCAAGCGAAGAGGCAAGGGCAGGAGCAAGGGAACCGCAAGTGGAAGCCCGCGCCAGTTCAGGAAGCGGGGAGATCCATCAGTTTTACCAAAAACATCCTAGATATCCCCTCAAGCAGCACTGGTAAACTAAAACCTCTTGAGCCTAGTAGGCGGGGGCTCAAGAGGGGAGGAAGAGGGGCGTGCGCGGCCTCAGATGATGACGACGACCTTTTGCCAAAGGGGCCGTGCTGCTCCTCTGTGCTGGCGCCCGGCGCTCCACGCGCCGGCGCCGTCTTCGGCCACGCGCAGCGGGCCGCGCCGCCCCCCTCCCCCTGCGAGCGCGCCACCGCGCCGAACTGGCTGTAGTGGGACGCGTAGTCGCCGACCGTGTCGGCGTAGAACAGTTCTGGCATCCGCGGCAGGCCGCCGGTGGGTCCGCAGGCGCAGGGCGGCATGCCGCCGGCGCCCGCGGTGGTTCTTCGTGCGCCCTAGGCGGCAGCCCTGGCTGGGCTGGCCGCCGGCGCCCCACGTAGCCGCCACCGCCGTCCCCCATGACGGCGCTGCCGGTTGCCGGGCCGGCGCGGCGCTCTTGCCCCCAGGCGCCAGCTGCCGCCGCGCTGCGCCCAGCTGCTCGCGAGCGCAAAGTTGAGCGCGGGCGCCAGGCTGAGCTCAGCCGGCGCCGCGCTGCCGCTCGCACGGCGGATGCCGGCGGCGGTGGTTCCCTCGCGCCCCGCGCGGCAGCCCTGGCTGGGCTGGCCGCCGGCGCTCCTTCGAAGCCGCCACTGCCGCCCCCTTGGCGGCACTGCCGGGTGCCAGGCCGTCGCGGCGTCTGCCCGCGGGCAGCAGCGGCCGCGGCGCGCGCCCAGCTCGTTCGCAAGTGCGAAGCTGATGCGAGCGCCGGGCTGAACTCAGCCGGCGCCGCGTGGCCGCTCGCACGGCGGTTGCCGGCGGCGGTCCACTGCTGCCCGCTCGGCCGCTGGCCGGCGGCAGCCCGCGCCTTAGTCAAGGTGCGGCCTCTGCTCCCCTCCACGGGGCCATTCTGGCGACCTGCGGTGCCCTGACGGGGCCATCTCCCGCGTCACCTCGTTGGCCCGGCGGAAGCCCTGGGTCTCGTGCACGTACCTCACACCATTGTAGTGCACCGGGCCCATCACCCCTGCGTCGCAAAACGTCCTCTGCGGCTGCTTGGGAGGCTTGTGCGCCTTGGGCGTCTGCTGCGTGGCGGCCTGCTGCACGGTTAGCTCCGGCTTACCCTCGTTCTTCTTGGTCGTCCCGCAGCAACAGCCGCCAATCACCCCGATGCCTGCCGCAAGCAGCACTGCGATCGTGGCCACCACCTTCATCGCCGTCCCCACCGGGACAACGATCGCCACCGTGCCCATCTGCGGCTCCCAGCGGAGCATGGCCCCTTGGGCCTTGCCGTCAACTGTTGCCACTTCTTGGCTCTGTATCTCTCCGGCTGCCGTCGTGAGCGCCGTCACCACCAGCGCTGCACACAGCATGCCTGCGCAGGGGATGCGGGCTCTGCAGCTGCTGCTGCGCCTGCCGGCCGCTCCTCCGCGCCCTCGCTGCTGCTTGCGCCGCCATGCAGCGCTCAGCAGCATGGCTGCCAGTAGTGCCCCCGCTGCCATCGCCCAAGCTCCCATGCCGACCGGGAGCACGAGGATCAGCAGATTCTGGCTCTCCACCGGGTTGACCTTGAGCACGTAGCCGTCTGCGCTGCCAGCTGTGGCGGCGAGCGTCGTCACGGCCAGCGCTGCTCTGGGCCACAGCGGGGTCGGGCTCCTGCCTGCGTGGCGCGCGCCCTCGGCCGCATGGGCCGGCGGCGCCGTGAGCTCAGACACATCCGTCGCCATGTTGGCCGAGATGCCGCGCATGGGCTCGTGGCTCTCCCACAGCTGCCCGTGGAAGCTGTTGGGGGCCCAGCGCCCGAAGCGCTTGACGCGCTGCAGGTCGTCCACGGCGTGGTGCATCGCTGTCGCGCCCCCGATGCGGAGGCTGTGCGAGCCGATCTCCTCCTTCCTCAGCCCGGCGGCAAGCCCTGCGATCGTCGGATAGTGCTGCACCTCCTCGCGACGAATAGGTGCTCCGCTCGCCCAGCGGAAGAGCGGGAGCTCCTCCTCGCTTCCTCGCAGCCTCTGCGGGTAGTGCCGCTCCAGCTGGCGGAGGGCTGCCACGGGGCACAGTGACGTGCCTTCTCGTACTGATTCCTCACGCACCCCACATTGTACTGGTCTGTCTTCGAGGAGGTGATGTGGAGCACCACCTCCACCGCGTCCTTGAAGGTGCAAGGCTGGTTGTTGCCATCGCGGCCCGTGACGTCCACTCCGCGCACGACGCGCTCCCGGCTCCATGTCTTCCCGGGCTGTATCAAGTACTCGGACGCCCTCAACATGAAGAAGAAAGCCACCGCCACGGCGGCCCACGAGACTGCGGTGTCCATCTCGGGGAGGTCCGTCTGGTCCTTCAAGAAGCCCTGGAGCCACAGGAGCATGCGGGGCGTCACTGGCCGCTTCCTCCCGCTCGGCCCCTGGCCTCTCCGGAGGCCGGCGAGCGTGGACCAGAGGCGGCCCCGGTGGAGTAGAGGGTCTGGGTACCCGGCCACGAGGTGGGCGAAGCGCACTGCGAACAACTTCTGCTTGACCGTGCCCTCCGTGCGCTTCAGCACCTTGGCCAACACGACGACGAAACCCAACAGTGCCTCCTCGTTGGCGTGTCGCTCCTCGCGGTCACGTCCCTCCAGCCAGGGCGACTCTCCTTGGGCTGCTCTGACACTCTGCCACTGCTTCCAGCCGTTCTCGTAGCCGGCGCGGGTTCCTTCGGACAGCCGCAGCATCAGCGCCTCGCGCTTCTGCTCCTCGATCCACCTGCCGTAGTCCTCCCCTCCCAGCATCGGGTGGTCCTGCAGGGCGATGGAGGCACGAGCGCGGCCCAGGGCGACCGGCTTGACCAAACCCTGGGTCTCCACCTTCTTGCCCCGGTTGGGGCTCCTCTTCCGTCGTTTCTTGGGAGTGTTGACGACTGCGTTCAGGTCCACCTCCTCGGCGTCGGGGGGGGGCTCGGGGCCCCGCGCGAGATCCTCCTCGATGGCCTTGAAGCGGACGCCCTGACTCTTGCGCCTCGCCTTATGGACGTCGTCGCTCAGTACCCCAGCGTGTTGGTCGTTCTCGGGTCTGTCGGCCTTCACCCGGAGCTCGCTCCGTGCCCAGGCCCTGAGCCACCGCCGGGTTGTCTCCCAGGCGGCCGACTCCGCGGGATCGTGACAGCCGCCCGCCCGCTGGGTGGTCTGCGACAGCGCGTCCACGGCAGCGCCTAGTACGGCTCTCGCCGTCTCTGGTGGCAGGGACCTCGCTGCTTCCCGCGTCAAGGTGGTCTCGGTGTCGCCTCGGGCTCGCCTCTGCACCCAAGTCGCCTCATCGCCTCCTTGCACGATCCAAACTTCCTCTGGCGACAGCGCCCTGATGCGCCCGCCACTGCGTCCTGGGACGTGGATCAGTGTCCCCCCCGGTCCGCCCGGGCCCTCGGCGGGCCAGCGATCTGTGCCGATCGGGCCGTCGACTGAGCAGACCAGGTGCCTCGTGCCGGCGAGCTTGATGTGGCCGATGCCCTTGGGCAGTGTAGGGTCGGAGCCCCCTCGGGCTGCTGGGTCCCAGGTGGCGCTCCCTTCGTCGTCGAGCGAGCTTATCCTTTAACGCGTGCTTCACCCCATGGGGACAGCGGCGCGCCGGCGGCATGCGCATGCCCGCCAGGCTGGCGCCTGCTGGCCCTCGACCTGCCACGATCAGGCTCCGAGCTCGAGCTGTCATGTCGCCGTAGTGGGTGCAGACGACCTCCAGGTCGTACGTGCGGTACCCCAGCTTGCGCAGCACTTTGACAACGCGGGTCAGGTCGAGCTTGCCGGGGGCATCGACTACGACGACCTGCGGCCTCGCCCGAGTGATAGAGGATGCCAACTTCTCGACTTCGAAGCCCTTCGGGTCCAGGGACAGCGTGCGCATGATCCAGTCCACCCCTGTTGGGTCGCCCGTGGTCAGTTCACCGCCGAGCTGCTCCCAGGCGCGCCCGTAGGTCCCCAGTGGGCTCCCCAGCTCGAGGCCCCGGCGCCCCGCGAGGGCGAGGCTGCGTGGCACTGCTGCTGGGGTCCTCAGCGCCCGATGCCGGAGTGCTGACTCCGCCATGGGCCCGTCCTCTCCAGGCAACCGCAAGAGGTGTTCCTTTGCCTCGGCCAGCATCTTCCCCCACTCCTCGGGCGGCTCGATGCGGGTCCACCCCTTGCGCAGGAGCTCAGAGTGGACTTTCTTGGCCTCTTCTCGCGACAGCCAGTCCGCGATGTCGTTGTGGTATGTGCGGATGTACAGTGCGGTCGTGCTGAACCCATGGCAAGCCTCTAGGCGCTGAACGAGGCGAATGAGATGCCGTGCAAGCGGGTGCTTGGGCCGCCTCTTGGAAATCCACGACCGCACGTTCATGTTGTCGGTGACGTAGAAGACCAGCTCGCCTTGCCACTCGCTACCCCTCGCGGCAGCTAGGGCCACAAATGCAACCAGCTCCACGATGGCTATCGCCCAGTCCTTCTCGGCCCCTGGGTGGCTCAGCACGTCCTCCAACTGGCGGAGGAGCGGGGCGGCGTCTACGGCCATGTAGTGGGGTGGCGCCGCTTTGCTGCCGGCCACTGCTCGCCCCCAGTCGATGCTGCCGATGGTCGTCGTGGTTGCGTCGCCTCCAGTCCATCTTGTCCGGGCGGCGGCTCCTGGGAGTGCCAGGCGCTCGCGCGGCCCTAGACAGGAAATGAAGCTCGCCTCGAAGGTGGACGCCCAGGCCTCGGGTGCGTCGAAGAGCACCCGCAGCAGCTCGAGGGTTTGATCCCACTCGTCCCAGGCAAGGGCGATCTCCTCGGCGCTCCCTC